GAGAGAGAGAGAGAGAGAGAGAGAGAGAGAGAGAGAGAGAGAGAGAGAGAGAGAGAGAGAGGAGAGAGAGAGAGAGAGAGAGAGAGAGAGAGAGAGAGAGAGAGAGAGAGAGAGAGAGAGAGAGAGAGAGAGAGAGAGAGAGAATGAAAGGAAAAAAATCTAGGAAAACATTGATCATTGTAACTTGTTATTCTAATATAACTTAATTTGTCAAATTATTAATTTTTATATCACATTAAAAGGTTATATGTTTAATGAGTAGTTGATCAAATATGCATTCCACATATGTAATAATAAATTTAAAAACACAATCACCACAGTTGAAAGCTAAAACCATAGTGAAAGGTTCTTTAAACAACAAAAATGGTGTCTCTAGGTATGGAACCCAAGACCTTTATGCTTTCCACTACGGTTATTTAAAACAATTATGGTTACAGGTAGAGCATTTTCCAGATTTCTACCATGGGAACTTGATTGTGATTGTAAATAATTCACATACAATCACATCCAACCTAATAATGGTTGTTCAACCGTTATTATAGATATTTCGTAATCGTGATTATAGGTGTTTTCGAAGTTGTGAATGCATTTTCTAAATAGGTTGTTTGTGGTTGATTAGGTTATAGTTGAAAATATAATGGATTGACTTTTTATGCATGCATATAGATTATTTTCAAGTTTAGAGTGTAGGGGTTTTGTCTATTTGCTTTTTGCATCTATGGTTTTGTCTTGAGATTGGAATATAGATTTTTCTATTCTGCATTGTTTGTTTGATTTGGCACATTTTGTCATATGGATTTAGATTCTTTGATTATGATATGATTTTTATAGTGTAATTACAAGTAAAATTTCTGACAACCAAGACATATTAAGGCATGGTAGACTAGCTCAGCGTGCTTCTGTTCGAAGGGAAAAAACTAGACCGTTTCTTCCAAATATTGATGTCACTTCATTTGATGCAGGAGCATCGTCTTTCAAAGTTCACGTGTCTCTAGCATCATCCTCCCAAAGATATGAGTCCCCTATTGTTGTTTATAATGTTCCAAAAGCCATTTAAGTCCATGATGTTGACCCTTCTGCTATCGTTCCAGATATTTTTCCATAATGCTAAGCATGTGTGGGATGGAGAGGTAACATGAATCTTTAATTATTCTTTTAAACATTTGTGTTATAAGATTTAAACTTTCTCACAATGATGTTTTTTTATAGTATTGTGATACATTAAAATGTATCAACTATGGTTTGAAGATTGCAAAGTTGTCGCAACCTAATGATCCATGGTTTCAGGATGTCGTGCATGCATCTGGGCTACAAGATTTATGAAGGACAATGTATGGTTATATTAACCATGGTTTGTTGTCTGCTTTTGCAGAGTGGTGGCATTAAAAAACGCCTTCGTTCCATCTTATGATTGGTGAGACACCAATCACAATTGATGATGTGTCATCCATGCTACATCTTTCGATCACAAGAAGATTATTAAAATACTCTAGATGTGGACAAAAGTGCAACATGTGTCGATGTCACCTATTTTAAATATATCATTAACTTGGAGAGAATTTGTGAGTACAACTAGGGGGCTCTTGATTGGTTTTCCTATACTCTCAGTTAAGTGAAGCTTGTAAGTGGAAGACTAGACAATTGATAGAAAACAATTGTCTATTTACGATAATATTTTTTCACATTTACTGTTACTAATATTTCATAATAGTTATGCTACTATGTTACTAATGTTTTTTCTGAAAATTCTGGTATTCTTCAAAACAAAATTGAAAACATTTAATTTTTATCAGAAATTTCGTTAAAAAATGAAAATTTTAAAGATTTTCTTATACAAACAGTAAATTTCTGATAAAAACAAGTAAATTTAAAAAAAAATTGATTTTTATAAAAAAAAATACCAGCTAGAAATAAGTTCGACCCAAGTTGAATCTTTTTCAAGAGTTGCACGCCCTCCCCTAAACATTCATACAGGTAACCTAAAATAATTTGGCCAAGACAAAGCTTGCGTCCAGAGTGTAGTTGGTTAGCCATTGTCAAAAACTTCTTCGTTACTTGTAGAGACCTTGAGTAAAAGACGCAACGAGATAGCCAAAGAGCAAGGAAAGCAATATGTTCCTCATCAGGTACTTCTTTAATTTTTTTTCTTATGATGGTCAAAGATATAATGGATCAAAGTGGCTCGATTGCCATTGAAACCATTAGTGTCTTCTGTCATTTGGTTTGGATCAAAGGATTCTCCAGTTGGTCGAAGACCAGTAATATCAGCGGCGCTGTAAAGAGTCGGGGTTAGCATTCCGCAAGGAAAATGAAAATTGTTATGTGTACTATCCCAGAAATACAAGGAGGTTAGCAACATAGTTTGGCAGTAACCTAGTCCAAATTTCGATAGTTAAATCATGTCGAAAATTTCCATATCTTTCCATAATTTTGTTTTCTTTTTCTCTATCTTCGCCAGTCAAGATAGGTAATTCTCAGGGTTTTTCGACAAGGGACAAGAGCGAAATGCTCTAAGAGCATTGCTCATGTAGTCTAAGTTAATGGGTCTTTCTATAGGCTCAGTCGAGGATGTTGCCTGAGTATCAGATATCTTAGTTCGTTTAGTATTCACGATTTTAATACTATCCTTAGATCTTTTCCTACTTGTTATGGGTTTAGTTCTTTGATAGGTTGGAAAATATTCTTTAATTTTCGCAACATTAGTATTAAGATCCAGTAAAGGACCAGCAAGGGCTTTTTTTTTTTCAGAAACCGAAATGGGAATAAGTACCTGAGATTGATAAATGCGCCTCTTTTCTTCTTCAAGAGGAGGTTCTGGTATATATTGTTGATTTCCTACAACTTGAGGACCTAGAATTTGGTGAACAGGAGGAAGATCTGGTTGCTTCTTTGAGTCCTTAGGATTCTTGATTTTGGATGCCATTTATGAAATTGAAAGAAATTTGAGTTTTGTTTGAAGTTTACTTAAAAGAGATGAAGGGTTACTCTTACGCTTTAGAAAGAATAAAGGAGTTCAAGAGAGTGAAAAAGTGAAGAAAGAAGTGAAATGAGGTATTTATAATGGAGTAAGCGAAACATTTTATTTCAGGCACTTTGAACAATTGTTAACATCGTGGGAGACGTGTTGACCAGTTACGGATTGATGAGACGGTTGCAGTTGGCATAGCCCACTACCTCCTAGGAAATAGGAGTGTGATGATTAGGTTTTGAGTTTCTGCACGTCTTAACAAGACTTCTGAAGCGGCGTGGTCATGATGACCATGACTCCATAGCAGTAAAGATGTTATAGTGTCGAAATGCTTCAAAAAATGTCTTCTTCTCCATATAAGTCGAAAACGACATTTTTGGGAGGGCAATTTGTTGGCTGGGATTTCGACACTAATTAATGTTCGGAGTAAGTCATAGGATTCAAAGATATATTCTAAAGAAGAATATGTTGATTTCGAAAAAACAAATTGAAGAATATCTCGACGCAGGATTTGTTTATCAAGGAAGTTGTGGTCTAGGACTTAGAAATGTTGTTGGCCTAGACTGGAGTTCGACGAAGCTTACCTAGAGATGCGTTCGACAGGTGCAATTCAAATTTGAAGTTGATAACCGTTCTTTGGCCTTATCCGTTTTTCAAGACACGTTAAGATTTTGGAGCGGCAAGATGCATGCAAATTGAAGACGTGGCGTTTTCTAGCAAGAAGACCGTTAGATAGCGATTATTTTTGAGTTAGTATAAATAGAATCTCAGCAAAGAGGATTCTGTGGTGTTCAAACTTTAAAAAAAAAAACTCTAAATTTACACGTGGCGTTTTCTAGCAAGAAGACCGTTAGATAGCGATTATTTTTGAGTTAGTATAAATAGAATCTCAGCAAAGAGGATTCTGTGGTGTTCAAACTTTAAAAAAAAAACTCTAAATTTACTCTAAGTACCTGTGCGTGAGAAACGATTGTTGAGTGAAAATATGTGAATACCATACTTTATTCTTTTTACCATATTATTTAAGATTCTTCTTGTAATTTAAATTTGATGCATTTTACCTTAAAGTCAGTTTTGACATTTAAGATCTTGTCATTTACTTTATAATTTGCACTTCTGCATTTGTATTTTTTTAAAGAATTGTAACACTTCATTAACAACTTTGAAGAACAATGTCAAAATGTTCATAAGCTACAAACCTAGAAACTAAATAACAACACATGTTTTAAGATTAATCTAGTCGATTCTGTAAGTAGGTAAAAATTTAATAAATTTAAAAGACGAACGACTGTTTACCAATTTCGACAATAAAGAATTATATATTATAATTAAGCTCAAATTCCTCTAAAACGATTCGTAGTTCAAAATCTAGACATCCAAATACCTAGAATAAAAATAAATTAATAAAACATGTCTGAATTTCAAAATCCATAGTTGTCTGAATTGCCCTTTTCTCTACTTCTAAAATTTTAATATTCTAAATGCAATTTTGTCTGAATTTTAAAATCCCAACTACCATATGACAAAATGGTATACTATACTCATTAGATGTCATTATCCGATGAACCCAAATTATAATATTCAGACATGTCTATTTGTAAATTAGGTGTGTCCAAATTTCAACCTTCCAACATCGTGAAAGAATATTTTCAGATTTCCATAAGATAAAATTTGAGAACCTATAGGATTTAAAAGAACCACTATGCGTGCAAAGAGCATCGCCCGCAATCTACGGGCAAACCCAATCCAGCCCTTTTAATACCAGTTTGGCTTTCGTGACTAGAAGGGCCAGACCCAGAACCGGACTTGCCGATTTGATAGCTCATCATAACCCACCGCAACAAATACATTAAGGATCATATTTTTTTTATAATAACAGGAATAATATAAATATAAATAGTAATAACAATATCAATAAATTGTTCTGGAATCTAGCAAAATCAACAAGAATCATAATATAATGCTAACAAATATGATAACAATAATAAAACTGATTGAAAACTACTCTCTTCCTCATCAACTATAAGTTGTTTCACTTGGTAGCAGCAACCTCAGAAGCTTTGGTTGAAGTTGTCTCTTCAGATTTGCTGTTGTTAATCTCATCCCAAGCTTCAACCCAAGTGACCATGGCGTCGGCGAGTTTGATGAAATAGGGATCAATAGTTCCAAGTTTCTCCTTGACTTGCTTGGAGAGTTCAATGTAGCATTTCTGAACAGAGGTGCAATCTTTTGAAAGGGTTGCAGCTTGGAAAAATGGAATGATCTCTTCTTGCCAGAAGATACCTTTGTACTCCTTTTTCAGATTAACAAATGGGTTGCTTGCTTTGCTGTGCCATATGTATGGAAGTCCAGTTTTCACTCCATATCCCAAATGATCACAGATAACCTGTAAATTCATCAATCAGTTGTTGATCGCAATAGAAACAAGGATAAATCATAAAAAGAAAGGGGGACTTCTATAATCAATAAGTTAAGAATATATAAACTAAAACTGAAAACAATAGATGAACCAAAAGCCAACTATGTAATCAGTTAAATAATTGTAATAGAAATAGCAATTGATAATGATCATGAAGGCCCTTGACTTGTTGATTTAAAAATTGTTAACAGAAAAGGGAGATATGACTAATATACCTTAATGCACCAGCCAGCCCACATATCGTCGTAACGTCCAATGGGCTGACCATCACCCATGAGTCCAAAGTACATTGCAGGTCCAATCAGTTCACGGTTAAACGCCAGATTCATACCGCACATGGGGAACAGAGTTCCTTTGGGAATGGTCATGACAGCATCAACAAACCTGATAAATATACTCAAGTGACTAAGCAAATGTCTATAAACAAAAGCATATAATATCAATTAACCACAATGAAATAGCTAACTACAAACCTAGTGTTTCTCTCATGGGGCTTGACAAGCTGAGTTGGAGCATCATAATCAGGTATGTTGAGCCAAAGGCCGTGAGAAACGGCAGTGGGGACACCTTCACGAAGACTGAAAGGGTATCCACGGACGAAATCAGTACCGTCTCTGTATGGATCGTAAAGGGTGTTGAAGAAAAATGGAGTGGATGGACTAAGGAGATTCTTAATGTGCTGCTCAAGTGCGTTGATCTCATGGCCAGTTGGGTCTTTAGCAACCTGCACAGTAAAATAGAAAACAATGAGGAAATCATGTAGTATAAAACCTAGTACATATCATGAAAATAAATTGAGAAAAAGATTTAGTAATTCACAAGGAATGCTACAGAGAATATATAAAAGTCAATAGTTTGATGTTAGTTGAAAATGGGAAAAACGATAAGAAAAATCACCTTCAATATGAGTGGAAATCCTTCTGTCAAATAAAAAGCCCCCAAAAGCAAAAGGAAAAGTTTTAAAGAAAATCATTCTGTCTACAAGATTTATTCACATTATTTGCCTCAATCATTCCAGAAAAGGTAGTGAAAAACAGGACCCAAATGAATGTTAATTTGAATAGATCCAATTTTGATTGAAAATCATTTGAACTAGATTCAACTCAGATTCAATTCCATTTTAAAACCAATTCTCGTTTTAAAATCCAAACATCTGAATTGAACTAGAGTCAATGCTGTTGATTCAAAGGATCAAAACCAAAATCAAATCAAATCAAATCCAACGAAATTGAATCTAATCGAAATGATGAACAATTCCAAAGTCAATCTCATTCTCATAATTTCAAAATTTCCAAACAAAATCAATTCATGAAGTTAGTAATTCCAAACAAACACACTCAATTCAAAAATCAAATCAAGCTTTAAACTTTACAATAACCCAGATCTAGCTCCGAAACCCCCCTAAAACCCCAAAAAAATCAAGTCAATTCAATTCAATTTCAATTCACTACTCAAAAGGAACCAATTAACTTCAAGTCAAACATATAAACTTTCCGATCCAAGAAAAAATTGAACAAATTAAACAACAAAATCAACACTTACAAAGCAATCATCATCAATGGTGTAGATATACTTCTTCTTAGAAACCATATACCCAAAGCACCGACAAGCCGAATCCTTGAACGAGATACACGAAGCTTTAGGACCCAAGATCCTATTGATATCATTCCGATTATACAGTTCATAATCGAAACCTTCAGGAACCTTGATAACCTTAGTAGGGTCCCCATCTTGAACAATGATGAGATGATACTGTTCAAAAAAAGGTCGCCACATCTCAAGGAAATCAAGGTTACGGATCGTAGGGATGACGATGTCGAGTTCGTCTTTCAAGAGCGGGGTTGGTTTGGATGACGAAGCCATTGTTGAGAAGTGCGCGGAAGATGTTTGTGTTTATGTCTGTTTCGGCTCGGTGAGTGTTAACAGTTAACGTTACTATATATATACTGGAAGATTACGCGTGATTTATGGGAAGAAGAAAAATAGAAATGGAAAAATGAAAATCTCGTGGATTAGACTCAAGGAGCGGGTTTTTTTGGTGTATTACATACAGTGCAGATCACCGTAAACACGCATATCAAACGGGTCGGTGAGTTTGGATTTTTATTGACTTGGTGGGACCATGGTTTCTCTACAGTTGGCATAAGTGATATTGAGATCTAATTACGGAGGTTAATAATTTATTAACTTCACAAAAGGAAATAACTTTAATCGTTAAGTTTAATTTTCTATAATTATTTTAGTAAAAATTAATTGACAGTTAAAATGATTTAAATTCAATTTAAAATCACTGTGTATTTATTAATTAGTTTATATTTATGAATCAATTTTAAATTTGGAATTTATAGGTATTTTTCCTTTTTAGAAATTTAAAAAGTCTATGTTAATTTGTTATTTTGTTTTGTGAAAAAAAAACAATTTTTGTTAAAACATTTTATTTTATGTTAAGAAAAAAAAAATTAAAAGTTATTTATTCCAAAATTATATTTTTTTTTAAAGAAAAAGAATAAACTTTATCTCCAGATAAAAAAAATTATTTTAAAAAATGTTTTTATATTTTTAGGGGAAAAGTTACGTTTTTTTTTTGTTTATTTCCAAATAACTGTATTTTTAAAAAGTTTTCAAAAAATAAACTCATAAGATCTTTTTTTATTAAAAATTATTTTTAAATAACATTTTTAAGTTTAATTTTGTTAATTAAATTATCTATAATATTTATTTAAGTTTACTAATCATTTAAATAGTTCGGATATTTTTTGTTTAATTGTAATTCAATTTGAAGATATGGTTTAGATAATCATATTTTTACACATCCATATATCAAATAGTTAAGATTGCAATTCAGTACTTTATTTAATTAAATTTAAAAAAATCAATTTCTTACAAGTTTTTCAATCAATTTTAATTGTTTAGATCTTTGTTTTTATCACTTTATATGTGTGGTTGTTTGTTTTTTTTTACGTTTTTAAATTAGAAAGAGTATCCCAGACAAAAGAAAAGTCGAGAGGATAAAAAACGTTAAAGTTAAAAAAAAATTAATAATTGTATTTTTTTTTTAATTTCAAAACTTTTTTGATGATATCCTTTTTTATTAAATTTTTCTTAAATAACATTTTAAAACACTTTAAACTAATTTTTAACTTAAATTTTATTTATTAAATCATTTATAATATTTATTACAATTTATTAATCATTTAAATAGTTTAAATTTTTTTTTTATTTAAATGTAATTCAATTTGAAGATACGATTCAGATAATCATATTTTTGCATATCCTTTATCTCAAATTGTTAAGATTGGAATTCAGTATTATATTTAATTATATATATAAAAAATTAATTTCTTACTAATTTTTCAATAGATTTTAGTCGTTTGAATTCTTACTTTTATCACTTTATATGCGTGATTGTTTGTTTTCTTTGTTTCCAAGTTAAAAAGAGCACCCTAGACAAAAGAGAAGTCGAGAAGAACAAAAAGCGTTAAAGTTAAAAATAATAAAAAATAAAAAAGGAAATTTTCAAATAATTGTATTTTTTTTAAAAGTTCTCATGAGATCTTTTTTTATTAAAAAGTATTTTTAAACAATTTAAATTGATTTTAACTTAAATTTTATTAATTAAAATATTGATAATATTTTTTTTCAGTTTATTAATCATTTAAATAGTTCAGATATTTTTTTGTTTAAATGTAATTCAATTTAAATATATTATTCAGATAATCATATTTTTGCACATCTCTATATCAAATACTTAAGATTGGAATTCAATATTTTATTTTATTAAATTAAAAAAAATCAATTTTTTTAGTAGTTTTTCAATTGATTTTAGTCGTTTAAATCCTTGTTTTTATCACTTTATATGCGTGGTTGTTTTTTTACTCTGTTTTCAAGCTAGAAAGAGCATCTCAGACAAAAGAGAAGTCGAGAAGAGCAACAAGCGTTAAAGTTCAAAAAAAGGAAATTTTCACCCTACCAAATCCATGGACCTACTACGGGTGGTTGTAGCTTGAGGATTTAGTTAGAACCTCCAAGGAGAAACCAGAAAATTTTCTCTTTATACCAAAAATTTAGTTAAAAGTAAGATTTTTTTTCCACAAATAGTGTGTTTTTACCAGAAATTCAAGAATTTCCAATAAAACCCTTTGTATTAGTATCGGAAGATGTTGAATTGTTGGTATATTTTCATCAGTTTTTATCAGGAATTTCAAAGTTTCTGATAATTGCTCATATTTTTGTACCAGAAATCCTGAAAATTCTGATAGTTCAAAATGTTCCCAAAAATTTTAAAATTGACGGTAGCTCATAGGTTTTTTTTCCTCATTTTTCCATTTTGCAGTGAAGACCAGAGGAAAAGACAACATTATTGGAGGAAGGATCACATATAGAGTGGCATCCCAGGATAGGGCTATTGAGGCAGAGTCTTCCCAACTACGGACTGGGAGAGTAGTTTCAACTAATTCTCACAGAAAATAGTTGGTTACGCAATTATACGCACCCCGTAGCATCCGACTTCAAGCGATTAGATTAGACAAGCAGCCTAAGATGATGCAGATGATCATATTGTTGAGGTTGTTCATACTTAGGAGGTGCAGGGTCATACTGTGATTGACCCAACTGAGGTGGCTAAGATGGATGTGGCCTTTATTATTGAGAGGTTGTTAATGAGGTAGCTGAGACTGATGCCTCCCTTATTAATGATGAAGTGACTGCCACAAATGCGATCCTTATTGCCGATGAGGCCGAGATATATAACGTTGAGGCTACTGATACTGGTGATACAAAGGTTACGGCTCCTACTTTGGTGAAGCCATATGTGCATACTGACAGAGAGTTCCCGGAAGGATCCAATGACTGATCAGTGCTTACCAAGTATGTTGACCATGTGTCATACTGATTATGGTAGGGAAAAGTGTGTGTGTGTGTGTTTGTGTGTGTGTGTTGTTTAACTTTAATTTATTTATTATTGATATTTGATGTGTTGAAACTAACTGAGTCTATTTTTAACTTTGTTTGATACAAGATCGTATCACGCTGAAGGTGACATCCCACATATCAAAGATGAAGAACTTCTATAAGATTTTGATGCCTCAGTAGGTAAGGCGAATTGTTGTTGATTTTGAGCTCTTAGCATTTGTCGATTGCTAACTCACCATGCTAGACGCTTCACTTTTAAATTCCTTTGTTGAGCAGTGGCACAAGGAGACATTTTCCTTTCTTCATCTATTTGGGGAGATAACTATTACTTTGGATGATATATCATGTCTGTTCCATATCCCCGTCATCGATAGATATTTCATTGCTCCTGTTATTAACCAGAAGCTTGCATGTATGACCATTGTACATGATTTAGGAGTTACTGAGGAGGTCGTGCTAGAGGAGTTTAATTTTAATAAGGGAGCTCACTTTCAGATGTCTTGGCTTCGAGGCATGTATCTCGAGCTTGTGGAGGCACATATGTTGAGTCTTCCATAAGGGTGCACATATTAAATCTAGTAGCATTTACTCTCTTTACGAATAAATCTCATGTTTATATTGATGCTCTTACATGTGGATGTTCAATAGCCTTGAGCATACCATTTGGGTTTAGGGATGTGTTACATTGATTATCCTATATGCTGAACTTGGACTTGCAACTGTATTTGGGACCAGACAGCTTGCTGGCTATTTGATCTTATTCCAGATTTCTAGGTATACTAAAAATTATTATCAGAGACAGGACAACACACTGATGAAATTAGGTGTTATCCAACTTTCTCTATTTTTCTATAATATTGATTATTTCCTCGTAATAGAACCAAGGGTTCGTCTAAGTATGTTTAGACATGATCCTGTTTTTAAGTTATAGGCTTAATATCCTTTTTGGTCCTGTATCTGAACCCCAGGGTTCATTTTGGTCCCTTAACTTAAAAATGGTCCATATTAATCCCTTACTCATCAAATTGTTCCATATTAGTCTTTTTGACCTAATAGCAACGGAAAAATTCAAAAATTAGTCGATAAATTCGTCGTTAATTAGACAATAAGGACCAATATGGAACATTTTGAAGAATTAAGGGACCAATATGGACCTTTTTAAAGTTAAGAGACCAAAGTGAACCTCGAGGTTAAGATACAAGACTAAAAAGGTTATTAAACCTAATTTTTATTCATTAAATATTTATCTATTCAAACTCAAACTCAATTTCGACCACTTTAGCTACACAATGATAGTGTATAATTTGGTACACAAATACTCGATCTCTATGGTACGATAACCCTTTTATTACTTTGATATTGTCGTACAGTTGTAGTGTGTCAATGATGCTGAGTAGAAGATGAATGATGTTGTTGTTGAGGTTCATAGGCTTAAGGTCACCAAGTTCATAAATGATCTTGAAGTCCATTGTTTCTTTGTTAAAGGGTTAAATAAAACAACTAGAGGCGAACATGACCTTACAGTTCATACATGTTCTCACTGATGCTATCTCACAAGTTCAATTGGTTGTTCTGAAGGTTGACATCTCAGAAGTAGGATTGATCAAATTATTCAAGAATGACATGGTCAATGAGGCTAGTGATAAATATGATGCAAAGGTGGATGTCGGGGCAATTCATGTTGCAGCTGATGAGGATGGGGTTAAGGTGGGTGACAATGATGATGGTCAACTTGGTCAAGACCTTATGTTAGAGATGGTTATGGTGGAGCAGCTACCCAAGGTTTAAAATGAATAGTTTAAATAAAGATTATATATTAATGAGGAAGTTATCTAAGAACTCCCGAGATGGTGGAGGTTGATGATGATGTTACGAAGGTAACTTTCTACATGAAGAAGGATGATATTGAGATACTGGGCGAGTGACGACTTATAATTTTTAACTGTGTTGTA